AATAATAATCATCGTCACCACCATCATTGGCATAACCCTGCATTATCGTCATCATAATCACAATAATAATCATCGTCATCACCATCATTGACATAACCCTGCATTATCGTCACCATAATCACAATAATAATCATCGTCATCACCATCATTGACATAACCCTGCATTATCGTCACCATAATCACAATAATAATCATCGTCATCACCATCATTGACATAACCCTGCATTATCATCACCATAATCACAATAATAATCATCGTCATCACCATCATTGACATAACCCTGCATTATCGTCACCATAATCACAATAATAATCATCGTCATCACCATCATTGACATAACCCTGCATTATCGTCACCATAATCACAATAATAATCATCATCATCACCATCATTACCATCATTGTTGTCATTCCTAATTTTCAGACTGTAATTCACACCTGATTTGTTACCTTCAAAAGGTATATTCGTGTGAAGATTGAGCAGAACCTCATCAAATCCTGCCCTATTAAATTGCTAATCCATGTATGATGAAGCCATGCTTTTATTTGATGGTAAAATTGCTGAACTTACTTTGACCTATTTCACATACTCACTCAAATAATTATAATTACTAATCAGCAGTTTGGTTTATAATCCAACAACTGCAATTTTCAGTCAATATTTTTTCATAATTACGGCGATAAATCAAAAATTCTACCTTCTTCCTCTCAAAGATTATGGTACGGCTTTTCTTTTTTCTCGCCTTTTTTATTCTAACATATTCATTTCTCTTTTATTTACTACAAGCGAAATGAAATTTTGAACATAATTAATTTGCTTGCTAATTTCTCCTTCTTTGTTAAGAAAAAGTTTCTTCCTCAATATATTACACATGCGGAAAACCGATATACGTAAAATTTCCTGAGATGACACCTGTACGCTTATATTTCAGCAAAGGCACACGTCACGTTTCGCGTAGTTGTACTAAACGTTGTTGCAGTGTATCAGCAAGACAAGAAACCACCACCAAAATTCCCTAACAAATTTCCACCTTGAACATTAATAATTTATTCACTGCCTAAATATTTGTGAGTGGGTGGTAGGTGGTACTTCACACACACACACATACATACACATGCATGTAGGGAAAAGGGGCATTTCACCCCGGTAAATTATAAAAAAATCTTTTGGACAGTTTGTTAAGGAGGAGCTACAAAAGGGGGTGGGCAAGTATACGGGTAACAATCAACTTGGGAAACACAAAACAGATTACTCAATGAGTGTGTCCAAAATTTGCATATGTTCCGTCTTCTTGGAATAGTATATAAGAAGCTCCGTAATCATTCACTTTATTCTAATTATTTTCTCGGTGAGGGAGATAGGTATTCTTTCAAATTATTTTTCTTTTGTTTCATCTCACGTGGGTTTCGAGTTGTCCACGTAAATGGTTTGCGTGTAAATGACGGAACTTTTTACGGAACTGAAAAGGTCAGATGAACTGGAATTTATTGAGAATCGATGATTGAAAATTTGCCCGCCATCTGATTGATCATTAGATTAGGGTAGAAGTAGTTGAAGGCTAAGAGAGTTTTTCTCAAATTTGAGCTGCTTTGCTGGACAATTCTAGTGGCCACCACTATTAATTGTTTGATTTATTTTCTGAAGTTTTATTGGCGGTATTTGTAACTTAAGAAAGTGACGACCTGTTAGAATTAATTTTGATATTATAATAATATTTAGTTTAGAATGGAATCCGAAAATAACAAGACCAATGATGGATATGATCAGAGTTCTAGTGGAGTTATGCTAAAGAAAGATCCCAGAATTTGTGATTCGGCTAAGGTTCCGGCAGCTTTCAGTGAAGGTTACTGCTTTATGAATACGTTTTGTTTGCCTTCAACTGAAATGGGAATGTTTTTTCGCTCATAAATGTTGGTTATTTTGCTGAAAATTTTAGAACAACAATCTTCGGTTGCAGAGAATGAAATAAATGATATTATCAAAGGAAACGAATATCTGAAGGAGAACATAACTTTGTTGAAAATATACTTACGTTGGCTGGGAGACCTAATACTATTAGCACAGAAAAAGAAAAGAAACAACTTTAATGAAATGGTAAATGAGCCTTAAAGATCACTGAATTATTTAGTTTTAAATTGTTCTTTTTTTCTTTTCAAGTATATGTAACATTCAAGCGTTCTGCAAAGTAAAAAATCTGTTCACAAATTTTTCTTTGATTTTGAGCAATTCCTTTTCTAGTATGCAGCAATGCAGATAGAACGGGACAAAGCGAAAGTTCAGCAAAAAGAATTGGAAAAATTACGAAAATCAAAGCAGGAACTCCTTGAGAAACAAAAATCGGAATTTGAACTTAAAAAAACTGAGTGGGAGCAAAAACTTATGGGTCATGAAAATCTTTATAACATAGTAAAACAATGTTGTGAGTTGTTATCTGACATTAGTCATAACAACAAATTGGGAATTGCTCAGCAAACGCAACAGAAAAACCGTTGCAAAAAGCTGCAATTTAAACTGAACAGAGTCAAAATAACTGCGGAACAAAATAAAGAGAAATTAATCCGTCAGGAACAGGTTTGACTTTTTCCTGTTAGTATGAATTAACTAATCACAGAAATATGATCTCATTTTCACTCTCTCTCCCTTCCTCCCTTTATATTTCTTTGCATTTAATGTTTCTGTTTGAGTTGCTCTCGAAGCAAATTGAATCAGTTACTATAATTTATAGAGTCAGAAAAATGATTTAACGTTTTGCTGTGCTGTACTGCCTCTTACCTGTGTAAGGTTGATTAATGAATATTATTCAAATTTGATGAATGATGGATTAATCAATCCTTCGATCATTTCATTTCCTCATTTCTTCAATACAATTTTTCTAGATGTTTAAAGAGAAGTTGGATGGAATAAAAGATGCACATGAAATGGCACTACAGCAGCGTGACCGAACAATCTCCATACTGACCAAACAACTGAAACTGCTAATAGAGGAATCTACTAAAGCTCAAAGGTCATAGATTTTATAAGCAAAAGCATTCATTATAATCAAAATTAGTGTCGTAAAAGAAAGAAATTAAGCCTGTCACGTTGACGAAGAGACATTGCAAGTAGTGAAAATGCATTTTAAATATATCATTAACTTTCATTATATCGATTTAGTGAGAACTTGACAACAGTAGTGCACACTGGAACTCAAACTGTCACCGAATTCGAAATGGATGTCCTCTAGCGAACGCTATTTTTGACGATAAAACATAAACAGATATGAGATCTATGTCATTTCTGAATGTATTTTTATAAATATTTTAATCGATAAAGCGAAAAATTGAAATGGTTTTGAATCCAGAATTTGCTAGGAAACGCTAGTGAAATGACCGATCGTGCTCTTCATTATACGAAAGTATAGTTAACGAAGAAAGTTACCCGATATTCAATAGTAACAGCAATTTAATTTGTGATCTTGTGGATTGGTACCTACAAGTTGGTCCACAATTTGTATTTCAAATTGCAAATCTCATTCCAAGAAAATGATGTCACACATTTCAAAATCTATAACGGATACTTGATTTAAATGCGAGACGATTGAAAAAGACTTTAAGATAATTCGAAATGAATACCGAAAATGATTACAACCGATTACAAAAAGCGATTAGCGAATAAAAAGAAATCAAAGCTTCAGTTTGAAAGAATAAATCTGCAAAGGTACTAAATTGGAATACCTTAGTGCAGAAAGTTTATTCAGACTTAGAGTGCAATCGTTGGTTACAAGTTACTACTACAAAAGACTTAGCGACATTACAGATCTATCCATCCTAGCATGAAACTTCAAAACAGATTCAGTGAATTGAATTAAAATAATAAAAAATCTCCAGAAACCTCTCTTTTTCATGCTACATTGAATACTTAATAAAAAAATTTAAAAAACAAATCAAACTTTAATAGAAAAAAAAAAATTTATGCACGCTTATTCAGAATCCCAGTACTCTTGCAAAATTTACAAACATTAAGATGCTGTTCCATACTGCATAAAGAATTTAGACTAAGGAAATTCTACAGAGCAAAAATTTGTGAAAGAAAGACTGCAGGTAGGTTATAGAACAGATGCAGATAAGAAATTTATAAGCATGTCCTATCCCAGAACAAATTTTACATCTTCCAAATTACTTTCTACTTTCTACAAGTGTGGTACCTAATTTCTTTTATGTGAAAATGGTAGGACACTAAGAACAAACAGTAAAATTAAATTTTTTTGCTGGTACTATTAAAACATTATGCAATGCGACAAAAAACAATAAGGTAAAATGTTTATGTGCAAATCATAATCAACATTATAACTTTGTAAAAAACCATAGGCTGAAAAATGACTAACTGAACATAGACGACGAAACTCAATAATATATACAGTAGATTGATGTCAAATAAAGCGATATTCCAATTAACTCAATTCATCAAAATACGAATAAGCAGAAATGCAGAAAAAAAGGAAGAAATTAACCAACTACCTAACGGTAGCACATAAACAAATAAAAGCAGAAACAAAAAATGTAAGAAAAGATCTGCAATACAGACAGCAGTGGCCGAAACACAGATAGTAGTGATCGAGACGCGAATTAATTTTATCTGAAAACTTTCCAACACATTAGAAAGATATAAGCATAAAAAAGGAAAAAATTCCGTTCACTTTTCTTCCTTCAAAAAGAAAGAAAAATGCGTTTTTTTTTTGAATTTTGGTATGTACAGTTAAAGAGAAAAAAGTACACAACGAGGTATTACAAATGGAATTAATAAATGCATATAATAATGCACCAGGTATGTAAAATACCACAAAATAATAATTTAAATTTTACCCTATGAAGTGAAATTCAAGTTGAAGAAATTTTAACAGGTAATAAAGTTAAAGTTACATTTTTAGAGCCCAAAATATGTGGAAACAGTTATTTGGATAAGATTTATAATGATCAGATTGACAGTATTGTACAGAAGAATGAACTAAGCCTTCTCCTACTCAGCTTGCTGCTGGAGTATGTGCTGACTGAATGAACATTTGTTGGAATGTACTCATTTCTTCAGGGCGTAAAGCACGTGTTTTTCGCAGGCGCTTCCATTCTCCTGTTCGATAATCCATCTAAAGGAAAATAATTCTGACATTTTATACGAAAACCTTTTTGATTAAAGCTACTACCAAAATCAGTATCTGTCAATTTCATCATGTAACTGTGTATTTGCTGATAATTTATGTAAGATCTGAGCTTTTCTAAAAATATGAATAAGGCACTGTACACATTGGTCATAACCATTCGCAAAAATATGCTCACTGATGACAGATCAGCTAAATAATAAACCACAGAAGGTTTACCATGTCAACTTGAAATTAGAAAAAATGTCACATTACCTGAAAGAAGGTTTCTACACGCATTTTCTGTACTGTGCCATCTGGTCGAAGTTCATCTTCGTAAGTTTCTGATAGTTTCAAGGTTAAAATATCACCCAAATGAGGGTACGGATGAACTGAAATATTTTCCGGTTCAATTTCATCAGAAATCTCTACCAAAACACCTTAATTATACTAGAAATCTATGAAAACAAAAAAGCTTAATTATATAGTTTTTTTCTTGTTTCAAACGCTCATGATTTCTTGGACGTATAATTTTGCTACTCATTATTAATTCTATTTTCAGGCTATACATGTATATCACGAGTGTAAATTTTTTTTCAGTTCATTTTCAAAAAATTATTGTCTCGCAATATAATTTTTCCAACTCAAGTATATCCACCTCTGTCCTCCCATGAGGAGCACGTAAGTGATAGTTCTTGGACCTAAAAACCCTATTTAGAATTGAAAAAAAGAAAAAAAAAACAGACGATAAACGCTTACTTCCCATCCAACCCATAAATTATTCTTTCCATTTAACAAATCCGCTAACCTTTGTTGCCGGACATGAAAGCAATGACCATGCGATGACCTTCCTCATTCAATACATTCGCACAAGCTAACATTTCTTCACATTGTCGACGTGCGAAGGATTCACGCTAAATGGATTACTGATGAGTGAGAGCTCAATTGATTATTTCACATCTTTCAGAAACGATCTTCATATTCCACCCGATAAAATTCATACGCTGATGCATTAGTAAGGTTATCAATGATTTCGTTCAGGAAACATCATATAAGCTTTTATCATAAAGGAGAAATTATCAATTGTCAAAACAAAAAATTTCAGAAAAAAAAAAAAAAAAAAAACAATGACTGCAAAAATTTTTTTTAGAATTTTAAATCGTCATATGAAGTGTAAAGTTAGTGGAACAGTTAAAATGAAATAAAAGTACAGTATTTGTTTTAAACAAAATTTGATAGATTCCTAAACAGAAATACCCGAGATAATTGGACTGCAGTTGGAGATGAGTGTGAATCTGGACTTTGTTCCGCCTGTATTGTTGGTAAATCACGAACATCGCCGTAGCAGGATGAAGGCTGGCTGCTGTCTTGTCTGGAGCTATTGCCTTCATCATTCACAGGAATATTATATTCTTGAAAAATGAAATTCCGATCATTTTCATCTGCAGAAGAAATTGCTTTATTTACCACAACTTCGTCCACTATTGCAGCCGCAACAGCAGTAGCTTCTTTAGCCTTCTCCGCAGCTATTGCAGCTCGTTTCGCTTCCTAAAAATTTAAAACCTAACACTAATTCATTTAATAAATCAATCAGTCTTCCTCAAGCATATAGTAAATCAAAACAAGCAAGAAGAAAACACAAATTTTGATTTTCAAATAAATAAAATCAATGAACTACTAACTTTTGCAACCTTGTCAGCCTGTGCACGCTTTCTCTGCTCCTCCCTCTCTTGATGTCTTCTTGCTCGTTCTTCTGCTTCCTGTTCTTTTCGACGAACACTTAATGACTGCGGGAGATCACCAATATCAATAAATTTAGCACCACCTTCACGTCTCGTTAATTGTCTTTGAAATTTGCGGGGTTCATTCGTAAAACCGGCGGATAATTTACAAGTGTTTGTAGTTGGGATTCCACGCATTGGTACTAGATGTGAAAACATTAAAATTTTCAAATAAATGATTTGGAATTTTTCCATAAATCACCGAAAAAGTAAAAACTAATAAAAGTCGACCTAAAACCTTAAGAGTGATCTGCCAATGACAAGCCAACATGAAGAGGATGCCAGAAAGCTTACACATTACCGGATCACATAAATTTCATAAAGATCAGGTTTAACGATGTACTGAGGAAATTTAATTAAATACGTGGTTACTATATGATTTTAAAAAGAAGTAGAAGTGTAATGGTACCTTGAACACAAAAACACTACTAGACTGCGAGATTTCATATATTTTTCGCAAACACCATTTCTACACTTTTCAAAAAAAAAACACTAACAATCATTATTTGGTTTTCTAGCAGTACTCCGAATGCGAATCGGAAAACTCGATGATACCACGTCAAGTTTATTTCGATTGTAACCAGCTTCTGCCGCTGTAAATATAATGAAAATATCAAAGATCCTTTTCCGATCTGATGGCAAAATAATAATCCATTTCTCAACAGCATATAGAATTAGAGAACTCGAAGAATTAAATTCAATTCATGACAAATACTGGATCACTAACACTTTAACAGCTCGGCTTTTAGTGTATATGATTTAGCGCGCCGCTTCAAGTTGAAATGTTTCCAATTTTCAATTTCGGATAAACCAAAACGTGTCTAAAAATTTGAATCCGTTAGTTAAAAAATGATCATCCAACGGATATAATCAATGAAATGACAATGCTAAGAAAAAAATCAGCAAGAAGTAAAGTATTCATTACCCTAAGTAATTCAAAACCAAATAATATACCTTGATTGCACTTTGCGATACAGCATTTAAATCAAGCGGTAACAATCGCAAATTGTTATTTGCGCAGTGTTTTCTAACTGAAAAAAATTTTATGATTTTATAATTACAAAAACCAAGAAAAAACATTTTTTTCATGTAACAGTTCATTTTAGTTCTGCTTGCTTTGTGTTTACCAGAAGCAATTTTTGCGTCTAAAAAAAGAATTCAGAATAAATCTAATCCCGTCTGATAATAACGTGCTTGCAAGAATAACTTTCTTTTATAACATCGTATGAATAAAATGCAGTTTCTGGTCACTAACCTGATGGAAGGAAACATAATCCCAAACTGACAATGAGTGGAAATTTAAAGCTTACCCATTTTCCTCAACTCATCAAGTGATTTACAAAAATATGAATCCATATTGGTAGGTATCGGTGTTATACACTGTCGACTAGGGTATTCCCTGTACATGTCAGCAATGGTTTCAATCCAATCATCGGCATCTCTTCGAGCTAGGTCTAACAAATTTATTAGTGGTTCTTTCCACTGAAACCAAGACAGAATACTTCAAGAATTAGCGAATAAAATATAAAGAAAACACAAGAAAAGAAAGAAAGAAAACGGCTTGAGAGAACAACCAATTTTTGGAGTAAAACAATCAATGATGTTTAACTTTAAAAGTGAGAAATTTATAAACGAACATTATAACCATGTTCATGTTTACATCAATATCATTTACGTATATCAAGAGAAAAAAAAAAAAACGAACCATTGTAATAAGTCGATAAGACAAATGCGGAACAGCTAATACAATTTTCAGTTTAACATGTGATTCCAGTGCTTGAAAACATGTCTCCAGCTCTACCAACATTTCATGTGAAAGTAGCGAAGCTGCTTGCCGGCCACTCCATAATTCACTATTATCACCAAGTTTATTGTCCAACCACTTCACCAAATCCAAATCGCGCAAGTGAGAGCTTGGCACTGACACTTTGAACGGTGTATCATAATCTAATCCCGGCTAGAACAACCATTCGATATTTACAATGCCAATACTGCAAAATATTTGCTAATACCTATGGTTTTACTACATCAATTATGATCCACTGATAGTTCCGTTTCCCCACATACTAAAATACACAACAGAATTAGAGATTCAAAATAATCGTTTAAATCATTATGCTTGCTATATAGATGAATAAGAAGTGAAGAAAAGCAATGGATGTTACCTCAACTTTCTGTTTTTTAACTTCTGATGGATTATCATTATCATTCGTTTGATCACCCATAATTTTTCAACTTCTCAGCAACAACTTAAACAAATTAAATTCAATCGGAAACTGAATTAACGTTTGAATATGAAAGTAGCATATAATGCATAGCTTCAGAACTCTTATAATAATTTTACAGTTAACCAGAAGTAGAGAAACAATTCCAAAATATGAAAACAGTTGAAAATTAAAAAGAAAACAGTAAAATCTACAAGATGGCTAGTGTGCCGACATATTAGGAAGGAAGGCAGCTAAGATTAATTTTTACTCAGTTCTAATAAATAATAAGCTTGAAACGTTATAATATCAAGTAAAACACGAATAACACACACACTTAAATTTTCCACATAACAAAAACAAACTTCCGTGTGTTACGTGACAGTTTGCCACAAATGTTGGAGATTAATTCGCGACACGGTTTTATGACATCATGCATTTGCTGATTTGGTTTTAGATGACTGCTGTTTGAATTTTTGGTAAGCGTCGACGAATGTTATTAGGTTTAATTAATGTGAAATGTCAGAAAATAAAACTTGAATCATGCCATCTTCTCGTTTACTCTCATCTCTCTCTCTCTGCTGGACAGTAACAAGCTAAATGCATTGTGTTTTGGAGTACTTGGATAATACAGGCTTTGCTCACCGTAGTTTGATCCAATTGTAGATGTACCCCTTTCTCTCTCCCTTTGTTACTCTCCATTTATCTCCCTTTCATTTAGCAACTGAAATTTCCCTGATAAATAGTATCAAATGGTTAGCTTTTTTTTTTCTTTAAATCTTGAGAATTTTAATTCATTTTTACAATTTACTGATCCATGATTAAGTCAACAGTTCTACCATACGGCTCATTCTCTTCGGAAATATTGAAGTATGCACTTCACCAGTCCGTCCAGATTTAAATTTCCGGAAGTCGAGCAATTACGGCATGGATTTAAACTGCACGAGTTTACTCTACTCACCTTGGTGCTATTGTTTCTTAATTCACTTCTTCGAAATAGCACCAGTCACAACTACCGGCTCGAAGGAGAGAATGAACATTTTTCACTGATAATAAAAATTGTGCCTAGGATAAAAAGAGTGCAAGCCTTCCTTTTTCCTTACATGATCTAAGCTTTTTTATACTTTTATAGGTCTTTTTCACCATTTACTACTAAAATATAATTGTAAAGCTATTTAGACAATCATATTTTTATATTCATTAAATGACAATGGTATCGAAACATGGATGTGAGGTATAAAATAATTTTGTACACTAAGTGACTGAAGTCATATTTTCACAGCCTTAACAACTTGAAATAAACTAGGGAAAATGTTGAGAATGTGAAGAAATAAAACTTTACATTAGAGTTATTTTTCGTTTGTTAACTTAATTCATGATAAAATTGAATCTGTCATTTCATTACTGATTTAAGATGCAAATAAATTAATATTTCCCAAACAAAAAACTCGTCACTAAAAATATTCCTCGATGGAGGGAGGTAGAGATAGTCGGAGACTTAGGACTGCTTCTAACGAAGCATTGATGGAATTTCAAAGTTAAACGAGAACATCACATAATCAAATTACTGGAAGAGGAGAAGGCGGAACAAAATACTAATACTGAGAAAAAGTGAAAGCAAATTAAATTATATGCACAAACTGCACATCACAATTACAGTAGTCTGTTATTTACATTAAATTACAATAATATAATTATGTTAAATTACAGTAATATAGTGGTACAACAACGGTTTGTAAAAAGAAATTTTTTTTTTTTTCATTAAGCTAAAAAACCGTATCTTCTATTGGTTGGCGAAAACAACAAAATTTTGAAGCCATCAACAGCCAAATTAATCAGTAACCAAATGACAATATATTAGATCTCGTCACTGTAGTAAATGTATTTACATAACTAATTTCAGTCAGCGACAATGACTGTATAATCATGTGTAATCGATTACAGTTATGACTGTTCGCGGAAAGGGCAGATGGGAATTACTTGTTGAAGAAATAATTGCTTAAATGGTTAATCGATTTGAGAACAAGGAGGCCAACAAAACGCTCAGTTCTGAAATTTCTCTGTAACTATAGTAATCTTAGATGTATGGTTAATAGAAATCGCTAAACTGTGAAATCCAAAAATGAGAAAATATCACTCTCCCAAAATGATAAGATTAAATCGGACTCGAAATATTACCATTGTTTTTCACACATGTTACCTTCTATGAAACAATAAAAATGAGAACTTTAAATGAAGCAATACATTCTAAAAGAACCTGAGATGTAAAACAAAAATTAATTCTGCATCTTCTTTCTGCAGCGATATCTTTATTACATTGCATGTCCTGAAAACATAATTAAACCATGACATAACTGTACCACGATACAAGTGAAATATATCCGTAATATTTGTCCATGAGTCTAATACTATTTAGAATGCAATAAAGATTTAAAATGATTAGCAGTAAAAATCAATATTCATCCAAACATGAAAAAATACCAGATTTCTTTAGATATGGCTCCCAATATTTCAAAGCAGGCTTTGAGGGTAATGTCACCAAGTAAAAAAAGTGTACTGCAATTGGAAATTCTTCCGCAGTTGGTAAAAAGCGTGCAATAATAGCGGTCTGAAGCATTTCATATAGATTTTACATTTCATATATGGATATATTCAAGAAAAAGTCCTAGCTGATCACTATGTTGTATTAAAATTAGTTACTGCCTCTTGGAACACATTTTTATATACTACGATATTAATAGCATAATACAAAGGAGTTCTTCCAGAAACAACAACCCGCTGTCAGTTCTAAAAATTTGCCATTCTACTGAATAAAAACGATCTAACAATGGATGTACACAATGTGTTTCTGAGATAGGCAACATTGCTAATTTACTAAATTTCTGATTAAATATTTCTGAATAAGCGAGCAAGTAAATCGAGTAGAGAAATAGAAAAGTTGAAAACTTTGGAACAAATTTTTAATCATAGACGTATTATTAAGGGATAAAAATCAAAATTAATACAAACAACCTGATCGATTCGAAAAGAACGACTACATACGGTTGAGTCGTACAGAAATTTACCATGCTTGTTTCCAACAATCAATCTATAACAGTTTTTTCTGATGTTTCTGATTTTGAAGACAATTTTATGATTTCGATTACATATACCAGAAATATATGTAACAACACTATGATGGTAATACCGATAATGCAGCAGTATTTCAAATTTCAAATTGGTAGAATAAGGTGTCCACTGCGACAAACAGTTTCTCTTCAAAGTGATCACCCTGTAAACAAAACCAGTTCAAATAAGATCAAACTACATGGAAGCAATTTCGTCAAGCTATTTGAATTACACTATTAAAGATAATTAAAATCTTCATCATCACTTGATTGAGCTAGATAAATCGGTCAACAACAATTTTAACTTGTAATGGTCACAATGACTTTTCCCGCAAGTACTCTAGTTACTATTTAAAGTAAAATTTGGCTATCCCTGAGAAATCCCACAGTATCTTTCATTTCTTCTTCCTAGAAAAAAAGGAAAAAAAAACGTTCACTGATTAAAGAACAACATAATGGACATAAAACGTTCGGAGCATTTTTTGAGGTACTAGTTTAACAGAGTTTTAATTTACAGTTTAATATGAAAACGAATTATTATAGTTTAATTACAGTTTAACACGAAAATGTTAATTTTTTAATTACAGTAAAATATTTTATTAATTTGATAATGTAAAAGGGCTTACCCATCATTGTAATTCAGCAGCAGATCTACACCAAAATTGAAACCAGACCAACGCCAACATTTCTTAAAATAAATTTTACATTTGCAAATAGTTTTACCTGTCACGAAAACCTCCAATGAATTACAGGATTACTAAAGAATCATTAGTCATTCAGGTGCATTGAGTTTTTTGACATCAGTGACACAGCAATGGGCTTTGTGCTATCAGAAAAATGGAAAATGCATCGTAGCATCATGCATCCAGCGATCGAAATTTGTTGGAAAAACAACTAAACAAGCAGACATAAGTACTGTGCCGACTATTTATTGTATACAAACAAGAAAAAAGACATACTGGAACCGAATCAAGTACTCGTCCCAACCGATGGGCGTTAAGGTGGAAATCTTCATCTCTAATTTCGATTTGTCTGGAAGGTATTTTCTTATTTTGCAAGTAAAAAAATTTGCAGAAAACTTTTTTTTATTTGAAACAATTAGTCAATGTGAACAATATTTAAATTACTGAATTATCAAGTTCCTATAGTCTACGTGGAGAAACTATTAATTTAAATATAGTTCTGCTTGCCAGTGAGAAAAAACAAAGATTCCTAGTGTTTCAGATTGGGAGGAAAACGGAGTACACCACGATACTTTAAAATGTAAAATAGGACTTGAGCCTTATCCTAAATCTTTACTGTAAAACACGATAAAAATAAAATTCGACAAATGAATTCACCTAGAGAAACTTACTCTTTCATTTCTTCATTACACAAAAGTAAAAACCAGTTGTCGGCAAGCACTTGATCAATAATTTCATTTGGAACAAGTGGATCTTTTCGCAAATCGTTGATCGTTTTTACAGATGAAACAATATGCCCGACACGGATATTACAAGTTATATCAGCAAAAGCACGGCACAACGCATCCCTATCTCTATCCGTCAATGAGGAATAATATTTCTCCATCTCAGTACGCATTTTATTATTGTCCACAACATCAGGAACTGCTTGCAAGAAGATCCACTGAAAGTAACTGAGCTGATTAATGAGTCGTCGAAATTATTCAAAATCTATAAACGAAGTCATCGAAATTATCCGAAATCTATAAACAATGCCATAAAAATATGCAATATCGATTACTTGACCAAAAACTGGAAAAAGCTGACAACTGACAACATATATCTCCTTGCCAATATGGATAAGTTATTAAATTCAACACTGTGGTTCGAAGGACTCAGTGACCAAGCAGTCGTGATAATCCCAACTATAAAATTTTGTACCTTTTTGATTGTTTCATACAGATCAAGTTCTCCTTCAACGACCAACAAATCTGATGCAGCCATCAACTTTACCATTGTCACGTGACTGGAAATAACTAGCGTTATAATCAGAAATCACCTTATCTATTCACTTAATTTATCGAAACTATGTAAGTTTGTGAATATGTTTGCCACAGATTTGAATACATACATTTCATAAAAAAACAATAATATCTGAATACAGACCTTTCAGAAAAAAAAGAGGACAATAAATTTTCCGTTAAATTCAAAAAATAATAACCTGACTGTATGAAGAATTTCTGGCTTGTTAGATAAGCGCCAAAAGTTATTTTTTAAATATTGAAAACACTTTTCGAATAAATCCAGAAGACCGTACTGCTCGGCAAGTGCATAGAACTCAAGTACTCGTTCATCAGTGAGTGATTCAGCACATAATTCAGCACAACGCTCTATAACACTATCCTGAAATCAATTATGAAACTGCAATAAGCTATGAGAAACCTTTGTATTAAAATTAAAAGTGTAAAAATGGAATATTATGAATTTTGAATGAATCCTTCAAGAAAAGAAAAAACAAATAAATGAAAAAAAAATGAAGGAAACTAAACGCTATTTACAGAACAAAAGAGGAGTCTCCTGTCGGCCTAATGGAAACACAAAATTACCAAGCTGAGCATTGAAGCTGATGCGACAAGACTTGCAACATTCTCTAAATCCAGTTCAATTTCATTGTGATACAATGATTCCAAAACCATATTAAATCCTAGAAAAGTAAAAAAAAAATTTGTGAGTGTAACACAGCCTTCTAATAACTATTAAGTTCCTCCTTATTTTTCCGACTGCTTTACCATTACTTAGAAAAATTGACGTTTCTAATGAATGAAAAAGATGAAATCTGATAGAAAACAAAATCTGTATCAACGGAAAGAGCAATAAAAAGCTAACCTTCGACTGTGACATTCGGATCGACAACATCAATCTGCACAACTGCATTATTGCTATCCTTCCAGTGCCCCCTAAAGGAAACGATATGTGCACAGCTGTAGAGAGAAGAAAAAATTTATGGAAGAGAATCTAATGGCTACTTTGGTAAAGTTTTTTGCTTTCTGCCAAAGATTAAAGAGAAGCACTGGAATAGTTAATTTTGGCTACTTACCATTCTAATAAAAATTATATGGTTATTTCCCGGCAATAGAATTATTTCTGTCAGGATCGCATAAGTAAGCATACCTGAACAAGCTGTCAAAAAATTTGCATTGCTCCAAATAAAGTCTATGGAGATTCCATGTCCGTCCCAATGCACAAATTGTTATATCCGACTTGGCACCATCAACGAATAATCGTTTATGAATATATTTCGCAGTATCCAACTAAATATTGCTATTTACATAAATTAATTACTTGGGAAGCTATTGGTCTCGATGAAATTGTCAAATATGTCTACAACAGATGCATAAAAAATTAAACCTTATACCTACTTTCTATGCTTACTTAGGAAGCAGTAGCTTAACTTAGCGATACAAAATAATGAATGATAAGCCTCTTTTTGGACTTCACTAAGCTAATGTCACAAAAGAAGATAATCCACAGATATATCTTCGTTAAAACTCTATCTCCTCCCCAAAACAGACAATCTTAACATCATTAATACTGAAAACTTCAAAATCTATCATGCGTACTTTGCTAATTTTTTTTTTCTTCGTTTCCATCTCATTATCACCGGTAGTTTTACGTTTGCGTGAAGGACTAGCTCGTGTAGACTCAGCAACCATCTCCACATCGTTAGCTTCTGTCTCGCCGCTTGATCGACCTAGTAATTGTCCCATCCGGTTAATACCTAAAAAACAACTTTCCCAATTTAAAAGTAGTACTAGAGTGTTACAGAGTGCAATAATAAATACAACTCTGCCGTATTCCATCTAACTTAAGTATATCTCAGCGTTTTGAGGTATTTCGGTATTCATTCCTATTCCTTTTGTAATGATAATCACCGCAGACAAAAGGAAACAATCGCAACGTGGGAATCGATAGGATCCATTGCCTTTCGTTAAAATTGAATAACTTTTCCCGCACTTATCTTTACAATTTACCGGAAACTTAACAGCGGCTTCCATGAATTCCCGCATTTACCAACCTTCCCCACATCGATAGAAATTTCCAAAAGCAGTCCGGCTTATCATTTTATCATGCAGATAACGAAATCAGTACAGCCAACCAAGTCACACGACCGCACAAACTCACTCCAGCAGCAGCCACTGACGATTAATCCCCGCACCAGACCGTAAAATTTTCTATCGATTTTCTACCGTAAAATACGAAGTTACAGATTCTCAAAGACTTTATTGGCTATGATTATGTGAGCACAAGAAACTGGAAGGATCGCTCATCCCGGTCGAAGCGGCTACACGTCACGAAATTACAGATTGTGCGGTACACTCCTGGAACCTATTGTAGCAGGTGTACGCGTAAATTACACCTGTACATCATCACCACTCATCTTCACACATACGAATTCTGTTGAATTGTAGAATAGACAAACACAGCGAGCCCATAATTCAAAAGCATTCATATATATGAATATGAACTACCAAGTCAATGCCACTTTCAAAAATACCGTGTAAACCGGGAACTCTGTCCCCATTCGTTGATATCTTTTAGAGTATGAACGTCAGGAAATCATAGAGACTGTATGACAAAAACAAGTGCAAAAGACTTGTTGGCATGCACTATTAGCAATATGTTACCAAAACACTGATACCGCTATCATATCATAGCACAATTCAACCCTCCTTTTCCGAAAAGAGTCAGTTGCATCGGATGGTTTTGAGACGATGTTAATGAGTAAATACAGATCTTCCACTTCTCTTTAATGATGGTCTCTTTTATTATATTAGTTACAGCAAGACCGAGATAATTGTTATAAAGTGAAAGTTGAATAATTTAGCATTTCTTTTACAATCACCAGTTATCACATCTTTTTTTCATCCTGGCATACAACAGTAGTTATTTTTCGTATCAAGTAAGCCTCACAAATGGTCCAATAGATGTGGGACATTCCAAAGCTCAAAGTTCACGACCTCAACGCTCTCTTCGGGATATCTCCAATTACAATGCGACCTGGATGACATCCAACCTATACCGAATTGATGGCAAAATTCATGTCCATAATTTCAGAAATGAGAAACTCCATCGGAGGGGCTTACAAACATTAATACATAACAAAACAAACCATAAAATTTAAATTTCACGACATTTCACTGGGGAGACAGAAAGAAAAAGAAAGAAAAATGAAAAAAGTCGAAATAAACTATTAAGCCAAAAGGGAACATATACGTTCATATTCATGAAAGATACAATAAATTAACGGTGCGTACATTTACAAAGTTTTGCTTCAAGAAATTCTCGAAATTGAAAGTTGTAGAAAGTCACGAAATTTCAAATGCTTGTTACTCACAACCATATTTTTAAACTGATTATATATATGACCAAAGATACAGTACAAAATGAAAATTGAGCACAAATATTAAATAATAAACGAAAAGATTCGTTTGGGAGTAAAAACAAAAGTTCAATTGCAAGTGAAAAGAATAGAGAGAATATATGTGGCTAATGAACATTCACTATCCGATATATATTTAACTACCAACCATCCTTTAAACCATCTGTGACATACATTATTCTCCGAAATGTTTAACTGAAGTTGTTATTTTGAATCTTGATAGCTCATATCAATTTATATTCCGAAATGGGCAGGAATTCTCAAATAAAAAGATCGGCAGGACAAGTGTGCAGTAAACATGATGAAACGTGAAAATCGAAAAACCAGCAAAATAGATTTAGGTGATTCAGTCAATGCATTATATCCTCCGGTTGTATCACAATTACACTCCGTACACTGGCCTCTTAAAGTTAATATTTCACATATTACATCATAATTCGATACATCACAAGCTACTGCATAATAAAGAATTGACAGAAAAATAATTCAACAGTACATCCTTACCCATACCTTCAAACTTGTGGTAGCATGAGATTTCAATCTGATTCCCACTCACTGTCGTTGTTATTAGCTTCTTCTTCTGATTCCGACTCTGCAAAATTAAGGTTTTTCGAGTTGACATTTATACATCTCTAGCAAGTTAGAAAGCGGAAATTCTCTTCCCGGAATAAACTTCCCACTTTCCTCTTCTGTTTCAAATGTTCCACAACCGAGTGATCAGCACAATGAATCAGTACAAACATTAGCTTTTTTAGTCAGAACTGCATGACATTGTTATAAAGAATAATTAAAAAGAAGAAAAAAACAAACCATCTGAATTGCGCATATTCCTACGCCTTTCTTCTAAAGCTCGAGCTAATGCACCTGCAATTCCAGCTACATCCGTAGAATTTGGTACTGATTTCCGGTTTTCAATCTCTTCTTTGTCTATCTGCAATAAATTTATTTACATAACTACTAATTTGAACATGAAAATACTAAAATCAGATGAATTAACTGCACTTATCAAATTTTCACTGTAGGAAAGCTAATACTAACAGGTTTTAGATTGGCTCCTTGCCGTATTTGTGCCATCATTTCATCGCGTGCATCGGTAATACTGTTATCATGATTGATGTTTGTTGTCACTTGTTTTAAAGTAACTCCCGCTTGTATCTCCTGAAGAAATGAAATGAAACTAAGTGCTGAGAAAAAAATCTCTGAGAACCGAAGTCTCATTCAAAACCCCAATATACCGAGAATCCATAACATAGTGCAATAGATTCTGTCAGTTAAAAAAAAGGTATAACGAAATGCCTCACTACATACGAAGTTGTAACCGAAAGAAAAACTGCTTACACTAAGCAAACTTGCTTTCCCTCCACCACCATTGCTGGCTGTCGAAGTGTAAGATGGCGGAGGTGGTGGAGGCGGAGGTATTGTACCACTGGCGCACGTTACAGGAGGTGGTGGTGGTGGCGGTGGAGGAGGAGGTGGAGGTGGTGCGAGTGAAGAATTTGTAGAAACTGATGAAGGAGGTGCTGCCGTCGGTACCGAGTACGTAGAACTTGACGGTGGTGGTGGCGGTGGAGGAGGTGGGGGTACATCATTTGGTCGGTAGGTGGTTGATGTCCCGTTCATTGCACCCGGTGGCTAAAACAAGCTAAGATAAAACTTTCTTTATCCAGAAAGCAAAGATAGTTGTACTTGGTAATTATTTCTTTGCTTGGAAATTTAAAATTTTAGAATCTTCCTGAAACTTTTACAGAAAATTCATTCGACCTGTGGCAAAGGCCTAGCTGGAGGCTTGCTGGAAGCTGGTGGTTTCAGCGGCGGTCTTGAAACTGGAGTAATATGAAATCCTTCACGACGTAACAACGGAGGTGGTGGCGGCGGAATTGGTGATAATGTTGAAGAAGTGATAATTGAGGAGGTCATAAAAGGCCTGAAAAATGCAGAATGTCCTAAACAAAAGTGTCTTATATTATCATCGAGTACCATCTTACAAAGCAATTAAGAAAATTCGTCGTGAATGAAAAGTCCAAAATTTTGAAATCACCTCTGATAGTTGTGATGCATTGGAGCTGACGGCTGCTGTAGTTTAGGAACCTCTTGGTAGCCAGTAATAAATTTTTTCGAAAATTCCAAGTCATCTTTGGACATTCGCTCCGGATTCTCTCCCGCAGCGCGCAACACAGCCTTCACACTATCATCCATTGGATCATAGTTGTACGTTTCTTGTGAGAAACCACCATCTTGATTCCACCCAAGATGTGCTTTGTGTCTACAGTATCATAATATTACAACAAAATATCATACAAATGCCTTAAGAGTATGGCTCAGTAAAAATGACAACTATGAGACTTCTAATAGTAGTTAATGTTTGATAATCGTCAAGAATTATAAACGTCCTAGAAAAATCTTTAGTTACTTCTTTAGTGCAACAATTCCATCACTGATGGGTGCGAATCATATGTTAGGAATCCTTAAGCAACATTTTTGCTTAGCGCATATAAAGAAAAGTTCTTTCAGGACTAAATAAAATGATAGAAGTAAATAAAGTTTTTAAATTAAATTCTTTAAAAAGGACGAAAGGCAAATACAAATGAAGTCCGTGAAATATAAGAAAAACTGACTGAAAATTTGTTGGATTGCTAATGTCCTCCTTCCGAATCTTCTGCTTCTTTTCTTTTTTTGAACTTTTCTTTTTGGTTCTATTAATCGTCACAAAATTTGTCCATGCGCCGCCACCAATATTTGGTACGGTGCCCATACTAGTAATGCCAGTCCTATGTACTGCCGAAACTGCATGAGTTCGGCCACCAAAGGGTAGAAGTGACCCAGAAATGTTCTGTGAGCCGCCACTAGTTACCATCTTCTCTTTTTCTTCTATTTAAAAAGATAGGTTTTTGAATTTATTGCCGAAAATTACTTCAAAGTCTTAAAACAGAACAACAATTGTTAATCAACTTTCATGGTTCAAAAATATATCAAAGAAAAATTATGAAATGCAGAAATGATGCCTGAAAAACTTACGAGACTTTTTTTCCTGTTCATAGCGCTTATCAAGGTGGGACTTAAAGCTGAATGCTTCTTCCTTACTCGAAAAATTCAAACCAAACACGCATTCATCTCCCTCGAATGTTAGAAGATGAGGACATCCCAATGGTTGTGATGCATGAAAATTCTTGTACCTGAACTAACAAATGTAAAAAAAAACCCCTTAAAATGAACTGTTCAAAATTACCAAATTCGTAAAAAGCTATAAAAATTGTTGAAGGAACACATCAAAAAGAGATGTCGCAAAGTTAATAAATGAACTCAAATGGTTTTTTAACTTGTAAAATG